ATTTATGGAATAGAAGAGTATTATATGATACACGTCAACGCAGTAACTTCAAGGCAAAATGCATGTTCGTTCTAACTTCACAGCGTGGGTTGTTGGCAATTTGAAATCGCTTTAGATTTTAAGAAGCGTGATCTTTCGAAAGGGTTTCAACACTATTCATTAACTCTCGACAGTCATGAACACTGACACCATGCAGTGCTGTCGGATGTAGTCTCTTCATTCTAAATTTCAAATAAGTAAATTCTGTCTTGTGTCAAGACCATGAAAAAACAATTCATACCCATATAATACCGCACTTGTCACTAGCGTTACAATTGAAAGCAAATTGTTCATAATTTCTGGCCTTAAATTGTCAGGTTAATTGCCACATATTTTGAACGGGGACTACGAAATTAAAAGCGGCAAGTTTATGTCACAAAACAAGCAGCATTACAAAGCAAAGGTCTCTGAATTAGGTATGGTCAGTTTCTCTGTACCAATGAGGCTATTGTAAGGTGTCCCCAAGTGTCACAGTGGTAACTAGGCTAAACTATATTATTTGTTCATTTATTTTCTATTTCGATTTTACTTCTTATTTTTTTTCTTTGGTAGGCCATATAATGCCGAAAACAACAAAATTCTATTGGACTTTCCTTTACATTCCGTTAGTCAAACTTGACAAATGAACAGATATATAGAAAATGATTAGGGCAATTTGATTAAAGCATGTGCATATATGTATACACATCTGAAGTCTGTTTTTCGAATATTTGCAAGTGTGTGGAATGTCATTTTTTTTTTGCAAGAAGTGAAATCGATTGAAATTACATTTATTTCTTTTATCCACGTATAAATATGATGGAAGATGTAACGTAATCAGATTTGTATTCTCATCCTCCAAAAGTACGAAGAGTTCATTTGGTGCTAAGCCAATGCACGCGAAAACAAATGACCAATCATTTCACAGTGCTGTTTCCGCAAATTGCTCATGGAGGCATGCGCTATCAAAATGTCATTCACGTGATCGACCACTAATCGAACCCAGCTTAAATGAGGGTATTAATTAAGAGGAATGCGCAAGCACTTAAAGAGAGGACTTCTAGATCGATGTTTTCAATTAAACCTCGCAGTTCCAGCTAGAACGCCAGGATTACCCTTGGTGAATCAAGACTTGGTGTAGGAGTATATGGCATCGTTGGTGCGCGCAGAAGTAGCTTAAGGCAGGCAATGGCTTTTCAGGGCCTCCTTTGAACCTCCACTTAAATACAATGTCATGCTATACATTTAGAGTCTGAAATTAGGTTTATAACATGGACTGTTAATTGGATGTAAAAATCAAAGCATCTCCATGGAAGGCAGAATTCCCATGCGTATGCTCTCCGTTTAGACACGACGGTATATTAAACCTTAACAATCTCATCTAGGGGTTTCCAAGCATTGCATAAGCGTCGTACTAGCAGGATTGGTTTGGGAGAGAAAATCGGTTCCCTGCTTCCAAATATATAATGCTAGTATATGGTCTAAATGTCTGTCAGTACTCGTTCCCCAAAAAGACCTTTTAAATACAAGTAGTGTGTGTTTCACAAGAAAGATTTACAATATATGAAGTTGATAGTATGCTCTTTATCTAAAACGTTCCCTTGTAGCTTTGGGACAGTTGAGGGAAGAACACTGACTGAGTGTTTCTACATTAAACGGTAAACATTGGGTTTTCCGTAATACATATCAAATGCAAAAGTCATTAAGCATGTTACCACGAGGTATTCAGTCTTCAGAGTATTGGAATTATACATATATATGCTGGCAAGCAGCGTCAGATCTCTGCAAAGTTGACAAAGTTCAAGCAGAAGATGACAATTTAATGAAATTATTCAAAAGACAAACTATGGCATACAGATCGATGCGTTTCCTCTTGTCGCATATGTGACATTTGAAGAAAGTGGTGATATATAATTCTGCTGCTGTTTAGGTTCATGACCATTGCTGCCATTTGATCGTCGTCGTTACTGATTGTAATCACTCTGTCGGATATTTCTGTTTGTAATGAATTCATGAAAAGTTGCAAATGAGGATATCCAAGACCCAATAAATTGGAGGTATGGTAAGTGTTTAAATGAAAGACTGGATTAGTAAAAAGACCACAGAAAAAATTGTTAGAATTTTATTATACCGCAGTCGAAACTCTGAGCAAGGAAGATTGACAATATGAGATGCCAGTCGGAATTTCAGCTAGGTAAGGTGCCAATTAGAACCTCGCCAAGATTCCCGGTTGTCTAATTGAAAGTTAACAAAGATGAACTGTGTATTGGATATCAGAGCCCCGACACACAATAAATTACTTTGGTGAATGAAAAAGGGTTGTTCATCTCCCCATGAGACTAAGTTTATCTCCAATATTAATGCAGCTATTTTAACGTACTTGCACGAAGTCTCACTTTTGTATCATTTTATTACTGATGCACGTCAGACTTGCCTGTACCTTCTGTGAGGGCACGTCATATAAGGGACGGTACTAACGATTCCGTGAACAACCGAGATCGGCAGCGCTCATTCACAGTTTCACCATAGACTTTCACAAATAATGTTGGTCTGTTTAATTTGACAGCACGGCAGACCACGACGTATCTAAACAGTCTTAGTTAGATATAAATATCTTGATATGTTAAAACAAGGTTTTATAGATAAAAAATTATAAAAATAAGTTTTGGATCTCGAAAATTTGATAATTGCGGTCATACTACTTTGTAGCAAAAGGTGCTGCTTTATAGGCCTTAAATTTTCTAAGAATCCAAATGTGATTTTATGCACATGATAATAAAGACATAGATGAAAAATAAATAGAATAAACTGACATAAACTGAGTAATATGTGTCAGGCAGGTTTGCGGCCCCTCATGTTTTAGCCGCAGAGTTCAGTATACCTGGGTGTTCTGCATGCTTTGGTAGATCTCATACCAGAGTACATACATGATTTTACGAATGATTTAACGAAGTACAAAAAGATCAATGCACTGCCAAAGGGTCTATAGGATAAATATATCAGTTTTTTGTCAGTAAAGGTGGCATAAAACTTTATTGGGAGGCAGAGTTGGAACATCTCCAAAATGAGCAATTTATCATAGGCTTTCTAGCCTCCGTAGACCATATAGCATAAAAAACCGCCTTATGAATGTAGTGCGTCCAGATTTATCTAATTTACATGCATGTAGGCTCAGACTGTTTTACTTTCATCACAAGCAGCTTTGTATATTGCAGTGTTTTACGTTTACATTGGGCATTGGGATTGAATATGAAATATCACTAGTATGTTGTAATCTTTTGAAGTAGTCCTATGGGGGATAATTTATGTTTTTTATCAAAACAGAAAAAGTATGTTTTAATTTGAAAAATGACACTGCGATGTTTTAAGTGTGTCATACATGTATCATTCACAATCACATTTTGCTCATACGCACGTTTCTTTTGAGTGCGATGTATATAAACTTTTCTTCTCTTACAGGTGCGCTGCTGCTTCACTGCTTCAGTATCGCCTTGCCGTAGCATACGATAGATGTAATTGCTGAGGATGCCAAGATAAGCTGCAAGGAAGAAAAAAAGAGGTAGACTTTAAGCAACATCTTTATAAAAAATATATAACTCATAGCACCCCTTGATCTACTTGTTTATCTTTATATTTACGTTTAATTTAAAGTCGAAACAGTCAGATATACCTATACAACGTAAGGTAATATAATATTGGATACTACAACACTGTGTACAGTTTTAAATTGTAACGTACACACATAAAGATTTTATGTTATAATGTTATAAGTTTAAGCCAAAGGATCGCGACCCAGCTCTTGTGGAATTTGCAGATGACGGCACGAAAACGCTTAAACGAACACATTGCCACGTGCACATGTGTTCCTCATCAAGACTGCAAGGTGATCGATGCTTTTTGGCGTCTCTTACAGTCACAATTGGGGTCATTTACACATAGAGGTGTAGATTGAACACAAGACCAAAATAAGAATATTGACGGGTAGATAATGCGCGTCCCATAGGTGACGTTGTGGTACTGTTCGGCTGTGTTCACACTGTAAAACATATTACACCAGAGATCATCTAGTGATCTACATATAGAGACGTCACCTTCGTGCTGAGAACATCTTGCTCTAAACAAAAAATGTTATCGGCCATTATTTCATAAGATTACGTCTGGGTTATTCATTGTGCAACCCGAGAGAAAATCTTTGAAATAGTTAAAATCATAAAGTAATCATATATAGTTAAGTGTATTTTGAAACAAATATTTTTGGCAAGATGTTTTTCCACATTGTACGGTTATGCCTTTCCTTAAGAAATAAAAAAGAACCGAACTATGATGAGAAGGGAACACAGGAACATGTATACATTAATACGAATTTATCCAAGATGAAGATATACAAAAGTGACAACGGCCATGTATGTACCCCAACATCCAGTTTTGAATTTATTTTCCAACACACAGCCAAAACTGTACACAATTGATCTTAACTCATAACGAGGTAATTGAATGGGGAAGTCATGATTCACACCCAACTGAGTGTTTCTTCAGTATTGCCTGATTACTTTCCCCTAACTTTTCGATCAGCTGATTGTATACAAAGGGACTACACTGACCATCGAAAATATCTTTACTCGCTTCGTGAGATCCCATCTTAGAGCAAGCCGCATTCAATCTGAATATTAACCGTAGTGTAACTATAATTACAACTACCTCTGTAGGTTGGCGTTAAGCAATGAGCGCTGTAATGAGTTCTATGGAGATTGCCCTGAGGGAGGGTTACCCGCCCAACGAGACACCAAAACACGCAATTCGATTTTAGTGCAGTTAATACAGCCTCGACTCGACTGCATTTGACCGAGAAACTGGCTACAAGGCATTTGGTTTGTCAGAAGGCAAAATGTACAGACGCTGTGGTAATCAGAGTTTCAATTAAATATTTCAGGTTATTTCCCGGCGCAGCCGTGTCAAGTTTCGCTATCCCAATGATTTCGAATATGGCACCATTGGTATCTGAGGGGACCATCAGAAAATGTGTCGAAGCTGTGGTTTTATTAATGACAGCGTTCGAAATCTCGTCTGCAAACGATTTTGAAAAAATTCTCCATCTTAAGCAAAACAATATCGAGCTGTTTCGAAATTCTTCATCGGAATCAACACAACCCTTGGACCACTACGAGTCGCAGGCGGCTCGGATTCAGGGCGAGATTATATTCGGGGGTCTTTTTCCCGTTCACCAGAAGGGCGCTGCAGGGCTGGATCACTGCGGCGAAATTATGCCGGATCGGGGGATACAGCGACTGGAGGCCATGCTCTTTGCCATTGACGAAATCAACCGGAATGGGACGATTTTGCCCGGAATCACGATCGGAGCCACCATTTTCGACACGTGCTCCACTGATACCCATGCGTTGGAGCAGTCCCTGGAATACGTGCGTGGTTCCCTGTCGAGAATGGAGGTCGATGATTTTTGGTGTGAGGACAACTCTACAGCCGTTCCCAAATCTCCCCCGGCTCCTGTCGCTGGGGTCATTGGTGGGTCATATAGTAGCGTCTCCATACAGGTAGCAAACCTTCTCCGGTTATTCAAAATCCCGCAAATCAGCTACGCTTCCACCAGCGCTGCGCTTAGCGACAAGGTGCGTTTTGACTTCTTCGCTCGAACCGTGCCACCAGACAAGCTTCAGGCTAAAGCCTTAGTGGACATTGTCACCCTGTTCAACTGGACGTACATTTCGGCCGTCGGGTCGGACGGGGACTACGGACAATCGGGGATAGATTCATTCCTCGCCGAGGCGAGAACCAGGAACATCTGCATAGCAACGACCGAGAAAATCCCGGCATCTGCAACGGATAAGATTTTTGATGATAAACTGGATAATTTACTAGAAAAGACAGAGGCAAAGGCCGTCATACTGTTCCTTCGCGGAGAAGATGCGCGTGGGCTGCTGAGCGCCGCCACGAGGAAAAACGTCACGCGCCTCGTGTGGATCGCGAGCGACGGATGGGGTACCCAGGTTTCTCCCGTGCAAAACAACGGGATCTCAGCCCAGGGTGCATTGACCATAGAACTCCAGTCGAACCTCATACCAGAGTTCGACGAGTATTTTCTCAGTCTGGACCCCATGAACAACACCCGTAACCCATGGTTCAAGCAATACTGGGAGATGGCGCATGGGTGTGTGTTTAAAGACGACCCCAACACTGGTTACACTTTCGGAAAGAAAGAGTGCACCGGGTATGAGGTTTCCGGTAAAGCGCACGTCCAAGAGACCAAGGTCCCCTTCGTGTACGACGCTGTTTACTCCCTGGCCCGAGCCCTGGGGAGCATGATGAAAGATGAGTGTGGGGTGAACCACACGGGAGGCATGTGCGCGGCCATGAAGGAGATTGACGGACATAAGCTTTTTCAAGACTATATCTTAAAGGTGGAATTTTTAGGTACGTAATATCCCCCCATCTCTCTCTCTCTCTCTCTCTCTCTCTCTCTCTCTCTCTCTCTCTCTTTTAGGAGAGCGGATTATCTCCTGCACTGGTATGGAAAATCTATATCAAAACTTCCAAAATCTAGACTCTGTATACTGGTACATTGAAAACGTGCCTGTGGAAAAAATTCAACCAGTACAATCGCATTTTTGCGATTATCAGGTTTGGGATCTTACTGCAGTAAATACCAGTGCGTGCCAGCTTAGGGAAAATATCTACATATTAAAGTGTGCATCAGAGGCTACATTGTTATTATTTCATTATTCTGAAACTTAATTAAGTCTAATCTCTTGGAACTGCGATTGTAAGGCCACTGTGAGACTGAGGCCAATAGTTTTGAATGATAATACCATGATACGTTGTATAGCAGAGTGGCACTTAATAATCACAGCTTTAAGGATGCAGTGTTAATTGCCTTTACTGCCACAAGATACTAACTGTATATTTATAACGTAAAAGGAAATCTAAAAAAAAAGACTATTTTCAGGACACTAGTGACTGACGAGATTAAAAAAATAAAATAAACAATGAAGCAAAGCTTT